GTGAAATCAATAGGTTAAAAATTGATGTTTGTAATTGCATAAAAACTATTGCATAAGTAATTTAAAACTCGTAATTAATATAATTACTGTTGTGACGCATTATTTAAATCATATTATTTATATTATCATATAAGCGATATTTAAAAAATATCCAAAAGTTTTAATAGGTACTGTTATGCTTTATTACAAAAATAATTGCGTTCAATAAAAATTACTGTCGAAAAATGTATATGATAAAATTTATATTTAGTTGGGTCTCATAATTGAAAAAGTAACAAAATAATTCTCGAAAACCTCCGACGAATAAGATTCAAGCCAATCCAATAACTTTTAAAAAAATTCTACTGCCATATTGAATCTGTCATTTTGAATTTTTGAAATCTGACTTCCAGATTCATAATCAGCGACCCAATAAAACCCCCGCGTAACGAATTTCAAGCAAATCCATCCGCTGGGTTTATCATATAGGCACGAAATGGTTAAGATTTGACGATTTCTGCCAAAAAACCGTCTGCCATAAAAAATATATGACTTTAATTTGGTGACCACTATTAATTTTGTTAATTTAACATGTTAAACTATATAAAAAATAATAGTTTCAACCTCTAAATTAAACTTTGACAACTCAACTTTTCTGGAAGCTGAATATGACAATTTAAATGAAATGAGCCATATTATGGGTGATTCTACAAACGAAGGACGAAAATGAAGAAAATATGGACACAACATTTTTTTCTCATTTAAGGTTTAAAAAGTACTTTAACTTCAAGTTAATGACACTAAAAAGATATCTGAAAGTGGCCAGACAAAATATTAAAAATTACAAAAGTTATGGTTGTTTATAAACAATTTATCAAGGAAATTAAGATCGTGTATAGAAAATTCACATTAACACTAAAAATAATGGATGGATTTATACAAAATTTATTACTCGGGGGTTTTCGGGGTCGCGGATTACGAATCCGAGGTCAGTTTTTTTAAAATTCAAAATGTCGGATCTAATATGGCGGACTTTTTTTAAAAAATCGTTCGGATTTGCTTGAAACTCTCTTACTCGGGGGTTTTTGGGGTCGCTGAAAATGAATCCGGAGTCAGTTTTTCAAAATTCAAAATGGCGGATCCAATATGGCGGACAAATATTTAAAATCACTGGAAACTACTTACTTCAGACAAATATATTAAGTTTTTTCTAAAGTTGTCCGCCATATTGAATCCGCTATTTTGAATTTTGAAAAACTGACCTCTGATTCGTAATCAGCGACCCCGAAAACCCCCGAGTAATTATTTTCAGACAAATATATTAAGTTTTTCCAAAATTCGTCCGCCATATTGGATTTGCCATTTTGAATTTTGAAAAACTGACGTCGGATTCGTAATCAGCGATCCTGAAAACCCCCAAGTAAAGAATTTTACAAGGATCAATAAATGGTATACATAAGCCTATAAAAGGACCTAAAAATAATATTTTTTTAAAAAAAATTGATGCCAGACGAATGAGAATTTGTCTGGTCACAACGTAATCTTGGTCACAAATTGAGAAATCTTACACGGAGAAACTTTGAGTATTACTTTTTCTTAAACTCACTATGTATTTTTAGTAAATTGACTACTAAAGTGGGGAATAACTGCAACGATATCAATTTTTCTCAGTCTGACTACTAAAATTTGTCATTAGATGGAAAATTAAATTTCACGAAAAAACATTTCGTCGAATGTCAATGCAAGTGGTCACCCATCCAAGTACTAACCGCGTCCAACGTTGCTTAACTTCCGTGATCTGATGAGAACTTGTTCCTTCGCCTTGGTGTTTCCGCTGTCTTGTCTTGATTAATAACTTTGTCGTATAAGTATTGTATCGCACCTAACCTCACTTTTAGAGACACGAAGTAACACAAATACACTTCAACTTTACAAAAAAAGAAAAAACAAAAATAGTGTTCATTTGAAACCGATTCTCAATAATTAAAAGAATTATATGCTTGGATAAGAGATGTACATGACATGATATATTTTTTGGGGGGGGTTTCATAAACAAGCTCACATGTGCTCAGGAGAGTACTGTATGTTTTAAGCGCCCCTAACTTCATAAAAACTGTATTTTCGATGTATAATCTAACCGGATTGTGAAATTTTAAACACAGAAAAAGAAAAATAACCCAAAGTAAAGCCTCATTAATATTATTTATGATTCAATTAAAAATTAATTAATAATTGTTGCGATTAAGTCGGGGCTTCATCTAACCCTTTTTAGTTACGACACTGTCCACGTCGAATTTTTCTTAACTTGACTACTAAATATTGAAAAAAAGAAGTCATATATTGTTAAAGAGACTTCTATTAAATAAGAAATTTCGTCTTTTTCCCCACTTTAGTAGTCAATTTACTAAAAATACATATGAGTTTAACAAAAAGTGATACACAAAGTTTCTCCGTGTGGTTAATAGAATAACAAATTAAATAAAATGCGCGTGGTATCACATTTAGTTTAGTTTAATTAACAATAACGAACTGTAACTTTATCAGAATGTTGATTTTGAATAATTTTAACGTATTTTCAACTGCCAGACGAATGATGACAAAATCCAGGGACAAAATTCAAGAAGATATTTTATAAATAAGGTATAGAGTAATATCATAATTATTTCCCCATTAATAATAATCTACAACTATTCAAAATTACTAATCCAGTATGAATTTTCCGCTAAACACTTGAAAAATAACATTTTTTCACAATATGAACTGTCAATTACATGCCAGACGAATGAGAATTTAGCACTTTGATGTGTATTTTTTGCAAAAAATATTTTTTTTCATCGGCTGCTTTTTAGTGCCACAATAGAAACCATTTATAGATTTACAATTAACTGTTTTTCAAATATGTAGAATAAATTTGATATAAATGTCTACTCAAGTTTTAACATAATAAATAAATGTATTTAGCGCTTTAAGTCTAAATAAATAAGTTGGATATCGTATTTTTATTCTCTTCTCTTGGACCCACTATATATATAGATTCACAAATTCTCACCCTCTATTCTTTTCTCCTTTTCAGTTCTATTTGTTTTATCTCTTTATTTCTGAGAGGATTCTGTCTTGTTGAAAATTTCTTTTCTAATGAAAAATTTCTATCTTTTTCTTTTATTATTTCCCTTTATATAATATAATTTTTTTTTTTTTTTTTTTTTTTTTTTTTTGAAAAATGTTTTAGAAAATTATTAATTATGTATTATATAATAATTATTTATTGTATACTTTTTATTAGTTTATTAATTGTTGAAAGATTATATAATTAAACAATAAATAAATTATTTTAAAAAATTAATGAAACAATTTATATAAAATATAAATATTGTTAAAAAAATTATTAAAAATTATTTTATAAGTAGTAATAATAATTCACTATGATTTTATCACAAAATTGTAGTTATGTATTTAAATTTTACCTTCTCTTTTTTGTAACACATTTCCCTTGCGATGTAATTCATCTCCTTCAAACATACACTCCTACATACTTAAACTCCAGTGAGCTCTCAGACAATTTAATTCAACCGAATCCATACTGGTAAACCACTCTGGCGCACCCTTGGAGTTACAACTACATTCGTTTCACTATCTGAAGCTTCATTTCGACCACAAACTTTTCATTCTACCACCTTCTCGCGTATTTTCTCTTTATTTTAATTATTTCAACTTTTTCGAAATGTTTAATATTTGGCAATAATACAATTTTACAAATTTTTTCTAATAATTATTTCTTCACTTTTTAATAATTACCTACATTTTCTTCAATCGCATCAGTTATATAAAATATAAAATTAATTTTGGTAAATTTTAATATTTTAAATATAACACAAATAGTGAAGTTAAGAAAAAAAAAAGAAAAAAAGTATTTTTGACTTAGAAAATTGCAGGATCCATTTAGAACCACAATTTAGTATCATTAAAACTCTTTCAGAATCTGAAAATGAAGGTTTTAAAGTTTTCTTCTTCTTGTGAAGAGTACCTTTTTAAAAACTTTTGGTATTTGTCCAGGAAGACGATAATTTTATATAACTGAAAAACTTAACGATCCATACTAAAGTTAAAGACGCAAATTTTACACTTTTTTTTAAAAAGTCACAATTTTTCTATTTTTTTTTTTTTTTTTAACAGACTCAAAAAGTAATAAACTTTTGCGTATATCATTTTGTTATACTTTATTCCAAAATATCAATTTTTCTAATACAATTATACAATATTTTCATAAAAGACGTATAAAAAACATTTGATGACTTATTATTAATTTGAAATTTTCATACCTACATTGATAATGAAAAAAGGGAATTAAAAATATTTTAATTTTATAGTTAAAAAAAAACGAAAAATATAAAGCTTTATTTTTATGGGGAAAAAAATGCTAAAGAAAATAAAAATACATATGGGGCATTTCATGTGACATTTTTATTCAGTATTTTTTATTGAATGTGATAAAGTAGTGAAAATTCGTTCACTATTTCAAATTACTTACTTCTTTTATTTCTATATTTGATAAAAATTATGATTTTTTTTTTTTGAAATTTAACATCGTCAGAAGAAAATTAAAAGTAAAAACTCTGCTTCTCACAATTAAAAATTTAAAAAGAAACCATAACTTAAATAATTTTTATTTAAATAAAAAAAAAAATCCAAAAATACGCATTTTTTATTGTTCATAAGAAATTAAAAAAAAATGTCTCATAGTAAAAAAAAAATTTCTGAATGAAAATAAATGCCCCATATATGAATTTTACTGAATTAATTATAATAAATTATATTAATAATCCAGGAAAGTAATGGGATAAAAAAAATTATCTTCTTCATCCATAAGCAGTCTAGGATTCCTTTTAACGTAAAATGAGAAGAAAATTGTCATTTTTCGACGATTTTCGCATAAATTTGACAATGTTGTCGTATATATCATCCTTAAACCAGGTCACATGAATTTCTATTCATTGAAAAAAGAAAAAAAGAAAAAAACCGCAACAGATTTATAAATCTTTTATTGTTTCGAGAATCTCATCGGGAATTATATATCCAACTTGATGCATTTCCTTGACAACAATGGGCTTTTGACTAAGTGAATCGATCCATTTATAGTAGGGAAGCTCCTCTTGTGTGCCACCATATTTTTTTGGCAAATTTTCCGGTGCAACATATTGATGAAGGCTACTCATGTCATGACCATGGAAATATATTTTATCCTGCATTCTTGAATCTAACAACGGTTTAAAAACGGCAAAAATTGCATCAAATACCCACGATTGATTTAAAATGTGAATTGCGTGCGTTTTCATTGGAAATGATGTCACCATCAAGGCAATAACCATGCTTGCAATCTGGAAAATTAATTTTTAAAAAATCATATTATAGACTAATTATTTTCAACGTTTTAAAAATTATATTATTTGTTAATTATGTTTTTGAAAGTTTTTCAAGTTTTTTAACTTTCTTTATACACGGAGAGAAAAATCTACCTTTTATAGTATAGAAAGGTTTACATTTAATGCACAGAAATTTTCTATGCTATATAGGCATGAAATTTGAGTAATTATAGTACAATCGTATGTCTTTTTAGCATGAAACTTGTCTATGCTAATAAAGTTTGTCATATAGCCTCTTATTACATACTTATTATACTTTTAATCCAACGGCGCCATGCGAAGATCGCACATAACATCATCCTACTATGTTTGCATAAGTTCTATGCTTTTTCGGGGATAGACTCTTGCAACTGGCGATTAGGCCACGCCCACCTTTACTTAATTGGAACTGCCCTAATCGCCAGTTGCAAGAGTCTATCCCCGAAAAAGCATAGAACTTATGCAAACATAGTAGGATGATGTTATGTGCGATCTTCGCATGGCGCCGTTGGATTAAAAGTATAATAAGTATGTAGTAAGAGGCTATATGACAAACTTTATTAGCATAGACAAGTTTCATGCTAAAAATTCTCAAATCTTTGCTCTATTAGTATGAAAAGTTTAAAGAAAAATAGCAGCAATCTATTTCATACTATAAAAGGCAGATTTTTCTCTCCGTGTAATTAAAAGATAAATTATTTTCTACTTAAAATAAGAATATTGAAAAATAATTTTTTTTTTCGACATAAGGAATCATTTTGATTTATTTAAATTATTTGAAAATATTTAATTGTATTTTGTCTGATACTTTAGCCTTTTTACACTTTTAAAGTGTCTGACTTGAATTGTCTTTTTTCACTCTAAAAATATGAAGAAAAAAAATTTCTAAACTAAAAATAATATTTGTTCACATCATCCAGGGAAAGAGTATCGTCTGACTCATTAATTTTTGTCAACTCAAAGCTCGAATTCTGTCTGACTAAATATATCTTTTTTCACTTTAGTAATCCGGTTTCACTTAAAAAAGAGATTTTTTAAAGAAGAGAACATTTTTTCATTAGGGGGCATTCATTAATTACGTATGGACGATTTTGACTAATTTTGATACCACCCTACCCTCATGTAAGTATACATAAGATTTTTCTGAACCCCCCCCCCCTCCATTCCTCTTCTTACGTAAGTTTTTAACAATATTAATCTAATTAAAAATTTAATTACAACAATACAAATGGAAAATACTTGGCAAAATCTTACGTAAGAATAGCTTCTACACCCCAGACGTAAGACCATGTAAAGATTCCATAAACCCCTTCTCCTCCTAAGGACCCTTATATAATTAATGAATGGCCCCTTAGTGAGTAAAAAATTTTTTTTGGCTGACACGTTAAATTATTCTACTTAAAAAGTGAACTCTTTCTTTTTCTACTTAAAACTATAAAAATCAGATTTTTTTTCTAAACAGAGAAGAATATTTGATTAAATCATTTAGAAAAAATGTTTTTCCTGACTTACCTTTCTTTTCTCTAATAATTTTAAATGATTTGACTAAAACAATCTCATTCTACCTATAATTTGTAGAACACTAATAATAATAAAAATAATAACCCTACATAAAAAAATTTAATCTAGCTAATAACTTTTTCTATTCAAAATGTAAATCTTGTCAGATTAAAAAGTCTTATTCTACTTAAACGTGTTGAAATTTAAACTGACCACAATATTCGATAAATATAATTTTTGTTGTTGTTAAAAAATCATAAAATATTGCTCTAAATAATATTAATATAAAATATAAATATTAAAACTCTTTTTTTTCTAAATGAACTGAACCTGAGGAGTGATTGTCCAAGCATGTGCCATTGTAATTCCTTCAAGATCGAAGATAACTACACCACCGAGAACTTGGGCTCTTGGCTCGAGAATTCCCAATTCAAGGACAATAACTGTTGCCTTGAACAATTCTTCCACTGAATATTTCCTGGGATCCCAATTGCCTATCCTGTATATCATCATTCTTCTTCCGCATTGTGTTCTATACGCTGGAACAGTCATTACATCATCATCGCCGATATGCCTCATATTTAGGGGATTTACATTGTTGTGAATCGAAGGATGCTCCTCTTTAAAATTAAAGTAATTCACTACCTGAAATTGATAAATTTTTAAAAATTAATAAACATAGTACTTTAGATTAAAAATAACAATAAAATTAACTACTACTATTTAATCATTTTTTCCATTACTTATAACTAATTTCATTTAACCAAATTAAGGCCCATAGATTACACAGCGTTTGTAACGCTTAATGCTTAAGCATAATTGAAAAAAAGATACCCCTTTTTTCTTCTTGCAAAATAATTTTTTTTTTTTATCTAATTTGTTTAAACAATTTCTTATCATTATTTTCAAATTTTCGATACTTTTTTAAATCGCGTTTTTCTCGAAACAGGATTTTTGAAATTGCTGTGCAGGATAGCTCAAAATGTTATTGACCGATTTCAAAAAAGAAAATTGCAAATTGTTCGTTATTAAATTTATTATTAAGTGAACTAAACGTTAGAAAGAAAAAAAAATTTTAATACCTTCTTTTTTAATCTCAAAGACGCAAAAAAATAATGCCAAAAATCAAACAATAACTTAAAAGTAGTGTCAATTTTTCAATTTTCAATATTTTCACTTAAAAGTTAGTTCAATTAATAGTAAAATTTGTATAAAATGGGAATAGCCTTCATTTTGTACTATTAGATCAAATTTGTGGACTCCAACTTTCACAGCAATCATAAACTCAGACGGCACAACTCCAGGTTTAATAGCTGGTAACTAGAAATGTTTTTAATAAGTTAAATTTTCTCTAACACGTCAAATTTCAAAATGGCGGGAAAAAAAATTAAAAATCAATTTGATTAACATGAAACTTATGTTACTAGGAGGTTTTTGGGGTCTCTGATTACGAATATGAAGTCAAATTTTACAAAAATTCGAAATAATAAGTTTCAAGAAAATTTGTTTTATTTTTAATATTTTTTCGTCCACCATATTGTATCTGCCTTTTTGAATTTGCAGCATTTGTTTTTCAAAAATGGGTTTTTATAATGTGCCATTCCAGGAGTTTTTTAGCACTTTTCGGAGTAACCTTTCCAAATTAAATGAAACATTTTTTTAATAATATTTATTAATATAAAGGTCCAAAAAAATCCCTTTTTAAGTAAAAACAATTGTTTATTTAAAAAATACAACAATAAATAATGCAAAAAATTCACTTTTTTCCTGCAACTCCAAATAAATTGGTTTAAAGATCAAAATTTTCCTTATTTTTCAAGCTTTAATACCGCACAAGAAACATAGAGTCCGAGAAAATATTCAACTCACAATTTTTTAAACAATGTTTGTTTACTTTTTTGTATTTTATTTACTGTGAAACGTCTGCTAAAGCTGCGCGCGACGTTTGGAAGTTATCGCTTTCCTTATTGAGCAGAAGCTCATTACACTAGCGTAGTAGAAAGCATGTTGTGCGAAAAGTGAGGTTATGTTGTCATTAAACGAAACGTAAAAATTTCTGGTTATCACATTGAATGGCTTTTAATTATCTACTTTGCAGTAAAAAATCATAAAAAACATTTTTGAAGGATGAAAAACCTCACTTTTCACACAACATGTTTTTTACTACAATACAAATACAAAAAAGTAAACAAACATTGTTTAAAAAATTGTGAGTTAAATATTTTCTCGGACTCTATGTTTCTTGTGCGGTATTAAAGCTTGAAAAATAAGGAAAATTTTGATCTTTAAACCAATTTATTTGGAGTTGCAGGAAAAAAGTGAATTTTTTGCATTATTTATTGTTGTATTTTTTAAATAAACAATTGTTTTTACTTAAAAAGGGATTTTTTTGGACCTTTATATTAATAAATATTATTAAAAAAATGTTTCATTTAATTTGGAAAGGTTACTCCGAAAAGTGCTAAAAAACTCCTGGAATGGCACTAATAATTTTATTTTATTATTTTAATTTTTTTATATATATAATAGGTACCTCGGGAATAGCACCAAAGTCTTAACCTGGAAGTTGCGAACAAAAAATATATGGCGCACTTTTTAATTAGACCGTTATTAAAAATTTGTTATTACCTAATAATAATAATTAAAAAAAAAAAAAATAAATGAGTAACAGTGATCGTGTTTTCTATGATGATAAAGGTAAAAAAAATTATTCTTATTGCTCGAGACTTAATTAATGCAACGGCTGCAAGCTTTTTTTTATAAAAATGAATTACAAATTAAGTTACGTAATGTAAAATAGATAAAAATTATTAATTAGGTAATATTATTATGTCTTATAATAAAGACTATAATAATTCATGTAATAATTCATAAAGTCGCAGATATACAGCAATATATATATATATATATATACCTATATTTTTTTTGTAAAAAAGAAGTACAGTGTAAAATAATCACTATTCGTTATTGTGCTTTAAATTTATTTAAGGAAATTGTTTAACGTTAAATTTTGTATATTAATATTTATTTTATTGCAAATTGTAAAAGAAAAATTAATTTTTTTAATTATAATTATAAAAACAAGAAAGAGAGAGTAAAGTTAACGCGTTTCATATAGAAAACAAAGGAAAATTGAGTGAGAGAGGAAGAGAGAGAGAGAGAGAAAGATCTAGATTCAAAAGTACTTGAGCAATATTGAATCCCGCGTATTCACAACGAAATAATCCGTTGAACATAAGAGTAGAATGGATTGCCTCCAGCAAGGCGTTTTGTTTACTGCTTTGAATAGAACAATTAATAAGCGACAACTCTTCTATTATAATCTCCCTTTAATTACCATCTCGTATCTTCATCTAAATTAAAACTCTCTATTAATTTCACTTCACATATCTCAGCATTGTTGATATTTCATTTTCATATCTCTTTTCTCTAATTATTCCCCCTCCCCCACTTCTAACTAAAAAAAAAATGAAAGCAGAAAAATATTATTTTTCGACAAATGTTGAAACTAAATCTCAATTTTTTAAATTTCGATACGTATTTTTTAAAGCTAATCTAATAATTCCCTATCAGAAATTGATTACTCGCTCAGTATTGACCCGGTAGTGGTACCGAATCTGTAACTCGGATGTTTTTGGGGTCACTGATCACGAAACTGAGGTCAGAATTTCAGAATTCACAATGGCTGATTCAATATGGCAGATTTTTCACAAAACTTGTCCGCCATATTGGATCCGCCATTTTGAATTCTGAAATTCTAACCTCAGATTCGTGATCAGTAACACCAAAAATATCCAAGTAACAAATTCCAAGTGATTTTGATTAATTTTTAAGAACAGAACATTCACAGAAAAATGCGGGGTCCTTTGCAATGCAAATTTCATAAATTATACCTACAATATTATGAAATTTGTTACAACTCCCCTACAATCAACAATACTGAATCTATTTCGTAATCTTTAACCAATATTCGTGTTTGTCATTACTAAATTTTTCTTATATACTAAATACATAGTAGATAATTATTCTTCTCTCTGTGTGTAAAAAGAAATTTCACCTAATATTTGTGACAATAAAAATATTCATAAAAATAATTGTTCCTTTTTCCTACATATATATGTGAAAAAGAAACACGATTGTAAATCAATATAAATCATTATAAATCAATAAAATTAACAACTATACATATATAATAATGCAGTTGCGCGTACTGGTTGCGAGTTCAGAAAGAGTGATTGGTTCACCTTGGCACGATTGTGTAACGTCTGTTCAGAGACAGAAATGATCTGACGATCACTATACATATATATATCGTTTGGTCCACGCGACAAATTCAATGATTATGTAAAAAAAAATAGATTTTTCAGAATTTTCCTTTAGAACTTGTAATAAAGTATTTTTCTCCTCGAGTAGGTCATAATATTATTATTATTATTATTTAATAACTCACCAACCGATGGGCTCGATATACATTAAAATTACGGGCTCGTAGAAATCTGATGAGAAAACTATCATCCATTCGATGTGGTGAACATTCTCCCCTTTCTGTGGGACAAAAAATAAAAGTATAACCATTATTAATAGTCGTGTAAATAGAAGAATTTGCCTTCTAAACAGATTTACGCAATTTTGCCTTATTAGCATGCTCTATATTGCAAAATATTGATCTTGTGAGAAAATTTATCACAATTTTATAAAATATTTGCAACATTGTATTAGAATAAATTTTAAAGTAAAAGGAAATAGAATTTAATAATTTTTTTACTTTTATAATTTTTTTTTTATATAAACACTTTCTATAAATGTACATACAAATTAGCTGTTAATTAATATAATATTATTTATAAACCCTATAATATTTTCCATGATTAATTAGGAATATAATTGAAATTAATTAATTTTGTAATTATTCTAATAAATTGTTTTAAATGTATATTTCTATGCAATATTTTCAATGTAATTTTTAAACCCAAAATTTTGTAATGAAAAAAAAATTATTTACTGTTATAAAAAAATAAGTAATATGAAACTTCCTGTTTTTATTTATATATTTAGAAAAATAAAGAACTGAAAAACTAAAACACCTAGCGTGACAATTAATTTTAATGACATTCCATTTGTTGTACGTCTTAATAATGAATGCACAAATGAAACACAAGATCCTTTCTGCATAATAATCTCTGGTGACTTCTATTATTGAATTTTATAAAAAAAAAGAAAACGTGGATTGTAAATGATAATATAACAAACAATCGAATTTGAATATCAAGCTGAAGATAAAAGTCGATTTACATTAAATGCACCATATTTTTTTTAATAGATAGCTATTATAATACTATATAAAAGCAATAGAAAACGTTTTTTTTTTGTTTTATCATGAAATTTTTTTTTAAGAATTTTAATAGATAGTGATACCGGTTTATAGTGTCCTCGAATTTATGTGACAAGTACAAAATGTGTTTAATGTTTAATATTTATGAATATTAATATTTCTCTCGATAAAAATATCAAATTTATTGATTTTTGTATACTTAATTAAACTTGTTTCATATACACCTTTATTGGTGTATTATTTTCTTTGTATGAATATTTCCTGTATTACGTAAACATTATCATAAGAATTGAAATAAATGTAAGTTTCTTCAATTTTATACTGGGCTACGATATCTACACTGAAAAAAATTTATTTAATTCAAATAATCGGTTACTTGATTTTTATTAACTAAATATTTATTTCAACCAAATAATTTATATTTAAAATTTAAATTAAACAAATTGTCATTAATTCAATATTTTTTGTATTTGAATAAAATACCATTTAATTAACTCATATAATAATTAAATAAATATTTATTTAATAATAGTTAAATAACCGAATATTTTAATTAAATAATTTTTTTTCAGTGTATATAACAATAACCTAGAATTTATTCCATTTGAAAAAATTTTTTTTTCATATTTCAAATGTGGTGCGAATGAACTTGTTAAATTATCCAGTTATGCAAATTTTATACACACATTAAAGAAACAAACATATTAAATACGAAAAAAAATTATAACAAATTGATTATCTGTGAAAATAAAAGTGTATGAACCAAATTATAAGTTAATTAAAATAAAAATAAAATTATTAAAGTAAAAATAGAGATAAATAAAAATAGAAATAAAAAAAAATATTAATATATAATGAAAAAAGTAATAATTCTTATTATTAAGTTAGCTACAATTTTTAAAATAGACGATTGTTTAATTGAGTTAGAAAGTCAAGTCAATCGTGTAGTCAGTTCAAAAAAAATCATTTAAAGGAAAATGCAACTAAAGAATTTGTAGTTGTGAAAAAAATCTGGTACATTGTATTTAATGTCAGTGGTAGCTGTGATGAAAATTACTGTAATTAGCTACTTAATCGGAACAAACTACATAGATTTAATTTTCACTGGTAATATACGACACTTTTTTTAAAATCTAAATTAGAAACAATTTTTTTTTCAAACTAGACCCGAATTCCATTATGAAATATAAAATTGTCGTTTAAAATAAATTTTATATTAATCCTATATTTAGAAAATATTTATCGTTAGAACAAACAAACAAACATTTTTTAAATAAAACGAAAATACCCTTTAAAGAAAATTTTTATATTTAATTCCACCTAAGTTTGCTGTTGATTAAATAATGTGATTTACTCAATCAAACACTTTTAATATTTAATTTTTTTATATATTATCTTATCTCAAATAGAGAAAATAACTAACGAAATAATATTTTATTTTATTTATGTCCTCTGGGCGATTCAGTGAATTTCTATTTCATTTACAGAGCAGAAGGCTGTGAAGAGAGGGAATAGTGATTTTTAATGACAGAGTTACAAATTTATTTAGACAAACATTTAGAGTTATAAAAATTCATCTTTGAAAGAGTGTATCCTGAGCAACTATTCTTGAAAATATAGGAAGTCAGCATTCTACTGTAACAAGGAATGTAAAGGTTACTACAAATTTTTATAAGGAATTAGGAAGGATTTAGATAAAAAGTCCTTAAATATGGGCAGGAACGGCTAGTACCAGATATCGCTAAGAGCTCACAGGAAGGTTGACGGGGGTTGACTCCATAGGTCCGGAGTTTAGTTGACCGTAATGATAACCCAAATAATTAAATTCTTCCAGAAAAGGAAAAAGAGATGATTTCTAAATATTATGGCAAAGTCAAAGCCTTAAATACTTGGATTAGTTCTTTTTGACGTAAAAAACTTTTAAAACTTGACACAGAGATTCTTCTAAGTTCAATTTAAGTATAAAATTGGGCATAGTAAAAATATTTCTACAAAATTTCGTATATGAAGTGGACGTACTGGTATCAAAATCTAAACTGATCTCTCCTGACATATGTGGACCTTTTATACAGGATTTTCAAAAAGAGAGTATTGTCACGTCACCGTAACTTTGCTAAGCGCATAGACTTAGCTGCATTATTTTTGTAACAGAATCTTTTCTTGATTTTATCCTGCATAAGATCAATACTACAGTCGCGACAGTAGTCTGACTTACTAATTTGTTCGGTATTATTAAAATATATTAAATGTACCGGAAGAGCATTTACGATCTCATAAAATAATTCTTATCATTGTAATAAATAATTTTCTGACACTGACCCTAAAATTATATCGAAACCAAGTAAATGAAACCTTTCTTGTAACATAACACTATTGTTCTATTTTTGTATTTTCTCCGAACTTAAAAAATTAAACATCGAAAGATTGCCTGTTCATGTGTTGTTCTGTTTATGATTTCCTTTATTACCATAATTTATGGGGAATCAAAAGGGAAGTCACCCTAATACGCAACGATTAGATGGTCAACTCTTTTAATGAAAAAGGTAGAAAAAGCAACCAACTTCCGAGAATTCGTCAACCCTCTTTATAAAATCTTGTATAAAAGGTCTACTTTTCTCTGGAGAGTTCAGTTCAGAAATTGTCACCGAACCCGCAACATCATGTTCAGATTTTGGTATCAGCACGTCTTTTTCATATACGAAATCTTGTACAAGTACTATTACTCTGCTCAATTTCATACTCAAGTTCAACTTAGAAGAATCTTTGTGTTAAATGTTAAAAATTTTTACGTCAAGAAGAGCTCATCCAAGTATTCAAGGCTTTGACTTCTCATAATATTTGGAAATAATCTTTTCTTTCTTTTTTTGGAAAAATTTAATTATTTGGGTTTCATTACGGTCAACTGAACTCCGGACCTGTGGTCATCACCAAGGACACAGCAGTGGTCCTTTTTCATACATCTAAATTTTCAAGGTAAGTCGTAATACTTTTTTATCTAAATCATTCCTAACTCCTTATAAAAATTTGTAGTAACCTTTGGGTCAATCCATTATATTTCGAATAAAGTCGACGCTGACTAATTTTTAAAAATTATAATACTTTGCAGGAATGATTTTGAAATTATCAAGATCACGAAATGAAAAGAATTTTATTAAAATTTTAATTATTTATTGCAAAATATGAATTTAAAGTATATGAGGTGCTGAAAACTGACAAATTTTTAGTCATTAGAAAATATGCAAAAAAACATAGAATTTACAATAAAAATAAAAAAAAATTTTGGAATTTACTAAGAATGAATAAATTTATCATTATCAATTGATGTAATTATTTAAATATGTGAAATAATATATAAAATATGATTTTCAAGTTCGCCTGTCAAATAACCTAAATTTGCAAATTTCATCTATTAAATGTGAGAAACAGAAGTCATTAAATTGAAAAAAACCTTACCAAATATAAAGTACCTGTGACTAACTTTAAGTTTTTCTTAGCACTTTTTTCCTTTTTTCTTCATAAATGTGAAATAAAAAGCAATAAAAATTGGCACTTTGCTTATTTTCACTATTTTCAAATGTAAATAACTTTCTTGGAGAAAACGGAAAAATTACAAAACTTGGGCAATATCTAATTGATCACTAAATACACACACTGGAAAAAAATTCGCTTTGGTCCCGAAGATACTTTTTGAGATAATTATGTTTAAATTTTTCACAATTTTTATCAGGTTAATGCATGTGATTTTTATAAAATTGAAGTTAGTTCAAAATGTTTAACCAATAAAACCTAACTTCGTCCTTAAAAAACTACATGTATTAACCTGATAAAAATTGTGAAAAGTTTAAACTTAATTATCTCAAAAAGTATCTTCGGGACCAAAGCGAATTTTTTTCCAGTGTGTGTATTTAGTGATCAATTAGATATTGCCCAAGTTTTGTAATTTTTCAGTTTTCTCCAAGAAAGTTATTTACATTTGAAAATAGTGAAAATAAGCAAAGTGCCAATTTTTATTGCTTTTTATTTCACATTTATGAAGAAAAAAGGAAAAAAGTGCTAAGAAAAACTTAAAGTTAGTCACAGGTACTTTATATTTGGTAAGGTTTTTTTCAATTTAATGACTTCTCTTTCTCACATTTAATAGATGAAATTTGCAAATTTAGGTTATTTGACAGGCGAACTTGAAAATCATATTTTATATATTATTTCACATATTTAAATAATTACATCAATTGATAATGATAAATTTATTCATTCTTAGTAAATTACAAAATTTTTTTTTATTTTTATGGTAAATTCTGTTTTTTTTGCATATTTTCTAATGGCTAAAAAATTGACAGTTTTCAGCACCTCATATACTTTAAATTCATATTTTGCAATAAATAATTAAAATTTTATTAAAATTCTTTTCATTTCGTGATCTTGATAACTTCAAAATCATTCCTGCAAAGTATTATAATTTTTAAAAATTAGTCAGCGACGACTTCAGTCGAAATATAATGGATTGACCCCTTTACATTCCTTGTTGCAGTAGAATGCTAACTTCCCTTATTTCAATAATGGTGGCTTCAGGATAATCTCTGCCAAAGATCAATTTTTATAACTCTAAATGTTTGTCTAAATAAATTTGTAACTTTGTCATTAAAAATCACTATTCTCTTTCTTCCCTGTACCCTTAGCTTACAGCCTTCTGCTCCGTAAATGAAACAGGAATTCACTGAATCGCCCAGAGGACATAAATAAAATAAAATATTATTTCGTTAGTTATTTTCTTCTATTTGAGACATAATAGTAAATACACATGTTTGGTGTAGGAGAAAGTATGCTCCACAATTATATAAAATCTGATCTTATCTAAATTTGGTTTCAATCTTAGGGTTAACATAATATATTATTTTGTCAAAGGCGTGAAAGAAAATAAGGGATAATTATATGAGATCATAAATGTTTTTCTATCTCGTGTCTGTATAATTGATTTTAAATAAAATATAGTTAAGAATAAGCTAGGGAATTTTGTTACAAAAATGTAGCTGCAAAGTTTAGCAAAATTTTAAATTTAGTTGCAAAGCATAATTTAATTTCTTGTAAAGAAAAAAATTAACTTTTTTTCCAAGTCTTTAAATGAAAATTTCATATTTATATCCAAGAAACCATCAGAAAGTAAAGTAGAATGCGCTTAAAATTTCAAATTACCATATATCATTTCGCGTAACTCTTGAAGAGTTTGGCACTTGACCTCCTCGGTTTCACCCAGCTCCCGTCTGGCATACTCCATCACTTCTTGGGAGGGTTCCTCGAGGTCTAAGGTGAGCTCCTCCTCTTCATCCCATGACTCTCGACTCTTGAGTTCCGAATTTTCTTCTAAACGCTTTCTTCCTTCATCCTCGGTGCATTTATCATTGCCATTGCGACGAGCTTTTACAGATGCATCGTTCAACACATTCGATTCAAATTCAGTCTTAATATTTGAGTTGACTGAATTGGAAATAATCGGAGTTGATCTATTTATTTTTTGACTATCAATTTGTCCTTCATTGATGGCGGTCTTTCGGAGTTCTTCTTTGATATCTCCATTTCCATGAGCACTTTTGCCATTTAGGCTGCGAATGATACTCTCCTAAAATCAAACAAAATTTTAATTGACAATTTTTTGTTCATACCGAATTTATTTCAAATCAGAAAGGTTTTTAAGTAAGTTCTATTTGTGAACTATTGTTTTTTACCGATACAAGAGGTACTATCTATTCGATGCAAGTTCACAATGATCTAACTATTTGTTCCTGATAAAAAAGGGTTCAATTAATAATAAAATATGTATAAAATATGAAGAATCTTCATTTTTTGCCTTCAGATCAAATTTGTGGTCTCCACACTGCAAAGCAATCATAAACTCAAAAGGCGCAGCTTCAGAATCAATAACTCCTAACTTGAAATATTTTTAATAACAATGCTTAAAAAAAATTATGAGAGACAGTTAAATATATGTACAACATAATGTCATTCTTGCATTTCATTTTAATAATTTTATCCCTTTCAATAACATTCACGAAAAATGGCTAATAATCAGCTTCCTAATACGATTTCCCCGCTTAATTTTTCATATCGAAAAAAGTCGTTTATTTATACTTCTAACCAGAAAAAGCAGTAAGGATATATTTAACTTTTTATTTTGGTTAGGCTAACCAAAATTTCAGTTATTGTAATCAGAATTCTTTTTCAGTTTACTAACCCATAGGCTTAGAGAACTTTTGTTATTTTTCACTTGCATCGATTACAAGACGTTAATTGATTGATTAATTTTCATTTCTTTGTAATTATTCATTTTTAAATTCTCTGCATTGCATTTCGCCTTTATTTTTTCATTTTTTTATTTGATTTATGTTCTTCTTCTTTTTTTCCTTTATTTATGTAACTTAAAAAAATTTTATTTATTTGTTTAATAATTATGTAGTTCTGCTGTTGATTAAATTTGTCTGAGAATCATATAATCTATTATATAATTTTCTATTTATATTTACAGTTTAATTATTTTGTTAATTACTTTTACATTAACTCCAGTCACTTTTATTCCTCCTATTTTTATATTAAAAAAATAACCTGGATTTCATGACAGAAACAAATGAATTATTCCTTATTTTAAATGTTGACCTAATTAACTATTTTTTTTAAACTTGTCTTATTTATGGATATTGCAATTTATCTCCGTTTAGATAGAATATTATAACATTAATAAAATATTATCTCTATGTTAATAATGTCAATTTTAATTATTATTTCTTGGGGAAATTTTTTATTCTACAACATTACTGTTTGAATATTTCAACAAATAAATTCCTCTTCAAATAAAGTTTACTTAATTCTATATTAATTTTTTTCCTAATGAATTTAAAAAAAATTTTTTTTATTAAATTGTTCATTTCATAATTTTTATATGTTGCCAAACAAATAAACATATATGAATAATTAATTTTATAAATTCTTACCAAAGTGCTTATAATGTATATAAATAAATTTAAAAAAATTGAAATTAATAATAATTTAATAAAATTAAATCAAACTATAATAAAATAGAAAAAAAATCGTGCTTATTTAACTATATAATAGCAATACAGATAATGTTCTTGAAACAAAATTGTCATTTTATAATAATTCAAAAGCACAAATTGGACTTGAACGTTTTCAATATAAATTCCCCATTGTTCGAAGGATCAGATTGGAAGCAATGCGTCAATAATACTTGAAAAAAAAACAAACAAAAATGAAAGAAAAAGATTGTATTGTTCGGGACGTGGGCGTGGATTGAATGACATTTTTAGAAATGAAATAATGCGGATATTTCAAGAAATAATATAATAAAAAATTAATATTGTATATGATTATAGTCTTTTTCACATGCGATTCATGGATCAGGAAAAAATTCTTTGACAACATTTAACATTTTATATAGAAGTAGCCATGCGAAACTAGAAGAAAGAATTGATTCAATAATTTTTCTCGGCCATCAAAATAAGCGAGAAATCTTTTTAGAAAAATTGAGGTCAATAAAATTAATGACTCGTAAGAACAAGGGATAATAATCTTCTGATTGTCTTTATTTCGAGATCAAAGAATCATATATATATATATATATGTACCTTTATTTTCTATGAATTTTACAAAAATAAAAAAAATGTGTTTGAATAAATTTTTGTGATAACTATTTTATATTACATATTAATATTAATATTATTAATAATTTATTAATTAGCAAATTAATAAATTCGCTGTGTTATTGATATCCAATTAATTTGTTTACGTTAATTTACAAATAAATCAATTATTGTTATTAATTTAATTATTTATACATTTTATCTATTATATTTAATATTAATTATTTAATATCTATTTATTAATACATTGTTTACCCATTAATACTCAATTAAATTACGAATTGACGCTGGTTTATAATGAAAATATATAATTGGCACGTTTAGGTTCTCATTACACGCTCTTGGCTTATCAGATATGACAAACGAAGAATTCTCTTTTTTAATTAAATAGATAGTATTATTTGGCTCTACGTTAATTAATTATAATCGTATTTTAATGATTTGATCACTTATATATATATATATATATATATATATATATATATAATTAGAAAAGCATATAAATTAATGAACTCGCCTAATATAAAATGCCACTGATTTGCTTATTTCTTGGTGTGCAAAATATATATACATATTAATGATCTTTTACCATTTTTGCGCAGCACGTTCATTATAAAATATTTTTAATATAAATATAAGACACTAATAATTTCTGTATATTATTTCTATAAGATGGAGATTTTAAAAAAAATTTCTCAAAAAAAAAATTAAAACCCAGTGTGTAAAAAACATAATATATATATATGAATTTATGGTATAAATATTATCATTTAATAGAATAAATATTACGATTGAATTATAAATTTAAAATTGTTATTTATATAGTAATTTAATTATAAATTAATGTGATCATTACTCTATTTGATGGTTTTGGTTGATAATTAAATACAAAAAGTATATTGTAATAGGATAATTACAATGTAACAGGAAATTTTTTAAAAGATTTTGAATATAACGAATACAGATATTGGGTAACTTGATTTATATAGGCATATGAGCTAAAATTGAGATATTCAGGAAAATTTTTTTTAATGATGTGACTTCATCGCTATAAAGAAGCCATTGACCTCTATGACTAGACTGATAAATGTCATAATACGCTCGGTTGCACTATAATAATTCAATATTGTGAACTTGATATATAAAATTTCAAAGATAAATAACAAAAAAAAATTTAATTTTTTAAAATAATGATAATAGTAATTTATATACCTTTTTTTAAAAAAATAATTCTTGCAGTTAACTGAATTTTAGTTATATAATATAGGTTTTTAATTTTTTATAAAAACATATTTTTTTTAGATAATTATTTATTTTAATTTTAATTCGAAATTACAACTTGAAATTTTATTTAATTATTTATCAAAAAGAATATATATATGTGTGAGCAAAGAAAAATGTTTGAACAATTTTTATAATTATCTTTTTGAATTGAATTTGTGTTTCTTTTTTATTGTTTGTTTCAATTACTTGAATTTATTATTTATATAAAATATAACAAACATAAAAAATATTTAAAATTGTTGATATTTTATCAGTTATTTTTATTTTATTTTTAACTTGTTTTATGAAACAATAAAACTAAAAATATAAACCTAAAGATTTATTGTTAAAAAAAATAATATTTTTGTATAAATTTTTAAATGATTTCAATAATTAATGAAAATTTGTCAATAACAGAAGAAATTATCTGTTAGAAGGAAAAACATCGCACAATCAAGAAACAATAAAGATAATATTGCACTCAAAATTTTGCAAAATTAACATTAAAAATATTTTATAAAGAATATTGCGTATAAAGTTATATATAGATTTCATTTATTGTTGGTGAAGGAAATTTTCATTTATTATAATTATTTGTACATAAAATAAAATGAACATAAAAATATTTAAAATTACTTTTTGCAAAGATAGATATTTTATTATTTGGTTAACCCAATTGCTATTGTTATTATTATTTTTTTGTGTGTTTATTTTTGAATAACTAAATTAAAAAATAATTTTAAATATTTAAAATTTAAAAATTATGTGGCAAATTTTTTTCAATAACAAAAGAAATAATTTGTTACAATCAGCTAGAAAAATATTATATGCACATAATTAATTGCAATCAAGAAACAAAAAAGAAATTAATTGCATTCAAATTTGCAAAATAACATTAAAAATAATTACATAAAGAATATTGCGAAAATTTATAAACATTTTTCATACCATCGGTTGTTTTCTTCTTATTACAACGATGATGCAATTATCAAGAAAATATCAGCAAACTTTGTAAAAATGTATAAAATTTATTTTTTTCAACGCACTGTCATTATTTTTGAACTCAACCGGCGCCGGTTGCAACGGAGAGCAAAAGTTTAAACTTGTAGGCAAATTTTGCAACAAAAAAAAAAAAATAAGAAATTTATTTTTGAATTTTCAAAGAGATTTATTGAGAATAAAGGATAATGTAAATATTTAAAAAAAATGATAATTCGAGTAATATTCACGCAAAAAGAAGTACAACAGAACCGAACTATCGTGTTTAGTCGGCAACAGTTGCAACCGAGAGTCAGTGATGCAACTGACTTTACGCGGCATGCACTGCAACGAAATTGCTATTCCCTCTTACTACAGCAAAAGGGACCTTGTGAAATGAACACCGTTCTCGTGATTCTAGCCGTAAAAGCGAATCCAAGTACCATGCTAGATTCACAACCTTCGACACTGTACAAGAAAAAGAACTATATAGTCCTCGATAAGTGATAATCAAAATAACCAACAGCTGTGTGAAAAATTCGAATCTCTTTTCCTACACTTCGAGATGAATAAGACCCCTAATCAACGCGATGCATACCTTCATTATTATCCGAGAAATACTTTCATTAACATATCTCATAAATATATAGCTTCATTCATAATGCAATGTTGTATACTTTATATCTGACAGTTTTATTTTATTTAATTTTCATATACACTTTATTTA